CTAGGTTATTAGTACGGCATTGGCCTTGTTGATTGGTACTATACTTTCTGTGGCCACTGGCGGACGTAATTCAAACTCCTTCCACACTGACATCGCACCAAATATATTTGTGTGCCGATTACATAACTCTTACTGACAGGGTAGGGTGGTAGTTCACGCGAAACGGACGACACTGTGTATATTGAGCGGCTCCTTTGATATCGCCTCACAACATACTTTTAATGAAAGACCAATTAAACGATGATACACATCAGGATCGCGGAGAAAATACAAGCATCGTTCGCGTTGAATATATATATCAAGGCACAAATTCATCTTTCATAAACTTTTTGTGTCTTGGTGCTTAATATATCCACATATCAACGAAAATATGTAATACATGTATCCACAAAAATATACATGTACAGGCTAGGTATTTGCCCACAGCAACACCTGCATAACTGTTTATTCACGCGTGGTGTGGCAGATTGTAATTGACTGACAACAAGTATTGTAGAATCACCTGTAAATAAGGCCGACACTGTAATTAGACACAACGTACTAATGAGAATATGAGAATTATCATAAGAAGGCTGTTACGTTTTTCTTAACTATTTCCATTTTCATACCAAAAGTGACAATGCAGTTAAAAGTTGCTTTAGTGTCACAATATTCACTCACGTTTTCCTCAATCGCATTGAAACATAATTCCTACTGGTCAGTTCGACACTGCTTGTAATTAAATAATTATTTCGAGATTTCGTTAGAATGTAAGATATTCAGCCAAACGTTATGCAATAAAAGACGAATAGTTTTTTTCATTAAAATACGCGCACGCGTACCTGTATATTGCATACCTAGTGTCACGTAATTGCCCAGTGTGATGTATCAACGGGACATAAAAAACGGGAAATGAAATAGAAACTAACTAAAATTTAATGTTGTGGAAAATAACTCCAATGAATTGGAGTACACGCACATGAATTCGTATGATAAACTGTCAAAACGTTTTGAGAGGTAAGGCCGGGTTCATTAAAGATCGCTACAAAAACATGAGTTTTGAGTAAAGGAACATGTTCTCGCCCATGGGCCTGCCCATGGGCCAAACCTTTTTCTCGCCCATGGGCGAAATATTTCAATATCGCTATAAAATAGTTCAATTAAGTTAAAATGAGTTAAATTTTGTGTCATGATACTTCAATAAATACATTTAATGTATTTGCGAAACAAAATCCTGAGTTTTAAGTAAAGGAACATATTCTCGCCCATGGGGCAAACCTTTTTCTCGCCCATGGGCGAAATATTTCAATATCGCTATAAAATCGTTGAATTAAGTTAAAATGAGTTAAATTTTGTGTCATGATACTTCAATAAATACATTAAATGTATTTGCGAAACAAAATCATGAGTTTTAAGTAAAGGAACATATTCTCGCCCATGGGCCTGCCCATGGGCCTACCCATGGGCCAAACCTTTTTCTCGCCCATGGGCGAAATATTTTAATATCGCTATAAAATAGTTGAATTAAGTTAAAATGAGTTAAATTTTGTGTCATGATACTTCAATAAATACATTTAATGTATTTGCGAAACAAAATCATGAGTTTTAAGTAAAGGAACATGTTCTCGCCCATGGGCCAAACCTTTTTCTCGCCCATGGGCGAAATATTTCAATATCGCTATAAAATCGTTGAATTAAGTTAAAATGAGTTAAATTTTGTGTCATGATACTTCAATAAATACATTTAATGTATTTGCGAAACAAAATCATGAGTTTTAAGTAAAGGAACATATTCTCGCCCATGGGCCAAACCTTTTTCTCGCCCATGGGCGAAATATTTCAATATCGCTATAAAATAGTTGAATTAAGTTAAAATGAGTTAAATTTTGTGTCATGACACTTCAATAAATACATTAAATGTATTTGCGAAACAAAAACATGAGTTTTAAGTAAAGGAACATATTCTCGCCCATGGGCCTGCCCATGGGCCTACCCATGGGCCAGACTTCGCCCATGGGCAGGCCCATGGGCCACACTTCGCCCATGGGCAGGCCCATGGGCGACATAATCTAAATATTGAGTTTTTAAACAATTTTTTTTTCATTTTTTCTTCCTTGGTATGTTCCCATGAAAACGGAATGTTTAATTTTGTAAATACCTTTAACCGAGACTGGGGAAAGAGCGTAGAGTTTCTGGACTTTTGGGTTTCCAGAATTAAAATGGGACGTGTTTACTTCAGGTTTCAATTTTGCATTATTCACAGCAGCAGAATTCATGTAGATGTGATGCTTGCATTCAATCGGCAAATACAGATCTGTAAAGAAATATAGGCGCTGAAAAGGTTGCTTTAGCATGAAACAAACCGTCAGCTTTGATGATTACAGGGCAAAGTTGCCCTAGCTTATTGTACCGGTACTGTATAAAATCGACCTTTTGTATTCAATTGTATTTTGTATTTTTGTTCTCAGCTGAGTCTGTCATACTTTCATGCAGAAACACAATAGACAAAGCCTACATCATACATTTGTGTACGTCAAAGTGTCGATATTTCTTATTTTGGGTAATATTTTGACTTAAACTCTACCTGAATTCTGCTTCACATGCTTTGGGGTGTTTTTGGTGGCTGAATGGTATCGAAATATATTTCGAGTTTGGCTTCGTAAACATTCAACAAAGGTAACATTGCTTCTATCTAAATCATACACCCCTTTAAGATATCACATCAAAATCTGAATTATGTTTTTCTTTAATGTAAAGATATGCTTTAGAGATAATGGTACATAGTGTTTGATCATCATATCTTATTAATGGTCCCCATTGAGTTTCCGTCATATAAAACTATACATTATTTTGTATATAAGGTACAAGGAGTGCATGTCAGAGTGTATGAGTGAGTGAGCTTTCAACAGTATTCCAGTTATATCGCGGCATGCCAGGTTAATGTGGGAGGAAAGCCCGAAGTGATGCAGGTCTCAGGCGTTTACCACTTCGGTGAAACCCACGAGCACGTTTTTTGTGCTGGCAAACCAAACATAATCGCGGCGAACCGGGATTCGAACCCACAATCATAGGTTTCTAGCGTGCCCAAGGGACGCAACTCTGCCCAGCGAATCGCGGCGCTTTGATGACTGGGCCGTCCGTGCCGCCGAATATCAGAGAGAGCCGGCTGCGAATTAACCTTCCTGCATGACAACGACGTTATGTAGAGGCAGATGCTCCCCCAACATCATGGCGAAGCCAAATAAGGCTACATGCGTTCTAAACTTCTTTACAACGACGTCATATAGAGCAAGGTGTTCACTAACCTTCCGGACAACGGCGTCACATACTAGAGTTTGGTGTTTCGTAACCTTCCTGACAACGACGTCATATAGAGCAAGGTTTTCACTAACCTACCGGGACAACGGCGTCACATACTAGAGTTTGGTGTTTCGTAACCTTCCTGACAACGACGTCATATAGAGCAAGGTGTTCACTAACCTTCCGGAAAACGGCGTCACATACTAGAGTTTGGTGTTTCGTAACCTTCCTGACAACGACGTCATATAGAGCAAGGTTTTCACTTACCTACCGGGACAACGGCGTCACATACTAGAGTTTGGTGTTTCGTAACCTTCCTGACAACGACGTCATATAGAGCAAGGTTTTCACTAACCTTCCGGACAACGGCGTCACATACTAGAGTTTGTTGTTTCGTAATCTTCCTAACAACGACGTTATATAGAGTTTGGTGTTTACAAACCTTCCAGACAAAGACGTCACAAGGAGCTTGATGTTTAAAGTTAATGTTAGTATGTCCATATTATAAGCATTTATGAAACAGATATTTCCCAAAATATTATTGTCATAACCCATGTTTAAGAAAATTGTATTCTCTGTTGTCATGCAATAAGCAATTGATGTTGGTTAATTGTGCAAAGTTTATGTACAACTCTCAATTTGTTTGACAAAACGCACATCTGTCTCAAAATTGATTTTTGTAATTAATTGTACGTGGGCAAATGGCCTTTCTTCTGAAATAAACTTTGAAACTTTGATGTTTAAAGTTCACTTACCTTCTTGACAAAGACGTCACAAGGAGCAGGGTGTTCACAAACCTTCCCGACATCGACGTCATATAGATTTAGGTGTTCATCAACCTTCCCGACAACCTTGTCACACTGAGTTTGGTGTTTACTCACCTTCCCGAGAACCTTGACTCATTAAGTTTAGTGTTTACTAACCTTCCAGACAACGGCGTCACATAGAGTTTGGTGTTTACTAATAATACCGACAACATTGTCACACTGAGTTTGGTGTTTACTAACCTTCCCGACAACGACGTCAGATAGAGTTTGGTGTTTACTAATATTACCGGCAACCTTGACTCATTTAGTTTGGTGTTTACTAACCTTCCAGACAACGACGTCACATGGAGTTTGGTGTTTACTAATATTACCGAAAACCTTGACTCATTAAGTTTGGTGTTTACTAACCTTCCCGACAACGACGTCAGATAGAGTTTGGTGTTTACTAATATTACCGACAACCTTGACTCATTGAGTTTGGTGTTTACTAACCTTCCCGACAATGACGTCACATAGAGTTTGGTGTTTACTAATATTACCGACAACCTTGACTCATTGAGTTTGGTGTTTACTAACCTTCCCGACAATGACGTCACATGGAGTTTGGTGTTTACTAATATTACCGACAACCTTGTCACACTGAGTTTGGTGTTTACTCACCTTACCGACAACCTTGACTCATTGAGTTTGGTGTTTACAAACCTTCCAGACAACGACGTCACATAGAGTTTGGTGTTTACTAATATTACCGACAACCTTGACTCATTGAGTTTGGTGTTTACAAACCTTCCCGACAATGACGTCACATGGAGTTTGGTGTTTACTAATATTACCGACAACCTTGACTCATTGAGTTTGGTGTTTACTAACCTTCCCGACAATGACGTCACATGGAGTTTGGTGTTTACTAATATTACCGACAACCTTGACTCTTTGAGTGTGGTGTTCACTCACCTTCCCGACAACGACGTCACAAAGTGCGGGATTCTTCTGGCATACCCCGGTCCTGTCAGCCACTTCCTGCAGGTAGACCGAGCACTCCATGAAGGCGGTCGCGGGGATGATATCGGCTTCTGTCTCCGTCACCACGACCAGAAAGCTCCCCAAAGACTCAATTTTGGTACAGTCCCAGGAATCAAACTGGAGACATAAACGTGTGTTATTTTAGGTAGCAAAGTAGTATCGAACATCTAGGTAGACGTTGTAATGTACCGTCACTTGAATGAAGAAGCAGTGTCGTGGAAGACAGCATATACAATTAGTTCACACGTCATATTGTATCACTGTAACAAATATACAGTAAACTACGGTTATAACGAACTCAAAGTGACTACTAATTTTAGTTCGTTATAACCGTAATTCGTTATAAGCGTGTTCGTTATAACCGTAGTTTACTGTATTTGTAAATGAGAGCGACAAAACCTTTACATATTCATAAGAAATCTCTACCAAAAGCAGAGTTGATAGTACGACTCCGACTGAATCATGAGCATGTGTTCATGAATCACTATCAAATAGTGATGATACCAGGTGTGAGCGAAAAGGTAAGCTTATCCTGCCCCACCGGTGGCACCCGTCACAAACACATGCAAAGGCAAGTCAATTGTTAACCTAAAACAACACGGGAAAATATGGTACAAGTGAAAATAGGGAATTGTATCGGACATAATTTTTGTCGCTGACGCCTCAAATAAGGAAATATCCTCCACTTGTCTACCATAAAAAAAATTAAAAGCTTTGAATGTTGTAACAAATCAGTCTGCACCGAAACTGAAGAAATCATAAAACTATGAAGCACAATTTTGTGTCTTTAATAATAATCATCGTAGCTAGTCAATACTGAGCGTGTGGTTTCAAAAGGTGCATATTTTCTTCTCAAAGTGTGTAAAAAGAAAGACATAGAAAAAATAAAATTAAAATAATTTTATGATTTGCAGCTATATTTTCTATGGTTTTGCATGTTTTGATATAAAACAAAAGAAGCGTTTCATACATAAACACATTATCTTATCTATTTCTTCCAGCACAGTATAAAGTGTATACATATACCCCGTGACCAGATAACATGCGGTGGTCAGTAGTACTCACCGGTGCTAATTTTATGATGTCTTTACACTTCTCCCTCAGTGACAATATCTGAAACATTATATACTAATTAGTGTAGTGTTTGTTCTGTGATAACACCATATAAAAATCGGATAAGTTAATAAGCTTGATGTACACGTGTTGAGATTCGCTTTCTTTTAACCTTTTCCATTTAGTAATGAAAACCCATCTCACAGAAATATAGCTTAGACTGGGCAAGTGAATTTGGTTAAAAGCCGCTTTAAACAGTATTCCAGTTACATTGCGTCGTGCCAGCTTGATGTGAGGAAAGCTCGAAATGGTGCAGGTCTTAGACGTTTACCACATTAGTAAAAACCCACGAGCACAGGGTATGGGGCTGACAAAACTAGAAACATAATCAGAGTGATTCTAAGACTCGAACCACGACCACAATTTTTTGGCTCGCCAAAGGGACGCAACTCTTGGACAGCTAGGCGACCAGTGTCCTTTGTTACTTAGAGCATGGCGTCTGGATTCACAGATGTACATTTAGCAAAAAGGTAAAAATGTACATATACCACCGGATAAGGGAAGCCCGTGTCTTTGAGAGACACCCAGTTGTCGCAGAACAGACTTGTAGGAATAGCCTCGAGAATGGACAGTCGCACTCCTCCCATAATGTCCCCGAACAGCGATAAGTGTTCCACATCCCATGTGAATCCTTGTGCCGCTACGTATAACTCAATCACAGGCGCGACCTGTTCAGTGAAAAAGCTTGCTTAATCACAAATATAACATACCGACACCATAAATCGGAAAGAACAATAAATAACGAAGCGTGGTTTATTTCACGATAAAACATTGTTCTATCATGGCGTCATTCATATAGATTCGAACATGCGCTCGCAACTTGTTGACGTCGTAAATTAGGCGACGTCATTTTGAGAGGGAGGTGTCTAGTGAGTTGTTCCCTATATAGATGTAGCTGGACAGCGCAGATGAACGCAATGGTCGAACGATCGCACCCTAAAGTGGGCGAGATATGACAATCGGTACTGGGAGAAAAGGTGCAGATAATCGACGTGACAATTGTGAAAATACCAAACCTAACCAAAATGGAGTTGTCCGACATTGCCGAAGGCTGGATTGTATTCGGGGAGTCATCACTATTTAAATACGGGTAAATGTTTTAAAGCTTGTACAAATAACTGATATCCTTGAAAAGGCTGTACAAATGTTGATATCTCACAGAAGAAATAAACGACGAGTGGGAGTTCTTTGTCGTACAATAAAACGCTGCAGGGAGTGGAAAATAAACCATGTTTTTTTCTCCCTGCAGTGTTTTATTGTCCGTTTCCTAATTGAATGAATGACACCGCGAGGCGATTATATCGCCACCTTTATCACAAAACTGTGAAATTATATTCTTATTGATTATTAAGCAAGTATATAATTAAAGCAAGTAAACCAAAATCCTCTTTTGCTTTCATGATTTGAAGAGTATTGATGTTCCATGACTCGCTAGACAGTCGAATCTTTTGTTATTTTTTTTCAATTGCAACAGAGACATAAAAGATTTCAAGCAATTTACTCCAAATATGACGGGGTAGCTGGTAATAGTAATTCCCCATTAGTGTGAGTGAGTGAGTTTGGTTTTACCCTGGTTTTAGAAATATTCCAGCAATATCACGGCGGGGGACACCAGAAATGGGCTTGACACATTGTACCCAAGTCGTTAATTGAACCCGGGTCTTCGGCGTGACGAGCGAACGCTTTAACCACAAGGCTACCCAACCGCCCCCACCGATGCAATAACATCAGTTTGAAATGGAAGAAGTAGTTGTGCTTTTTTCTTACCCTCAAATACATAAACCACATGTACGGTACCCTTATATGTCAAGTGGTGATTCTGTACACGCTGAGAGTGAGCCAGTGATAAAGTTTTAAGCCATATTGTCCATAAGTAGTTTTATCCTAATATTACAAATATCCACCTATCAATCTATATGCTCACAGTTACTTTGCATGATATGCACAACGGCTTACCCCGATTACAAGTGACCCGTGAAGATTCCGGGGTAGAATAGGTCTTCAGCAACCCATGCTTACCGTAAAGGGTGACTATGCTTGTTGTAAAAGGCGACTAATGGGATCGGGTGGTCAGGCTCGCTGACTTGGCTGATGCATGTCATCGATCCCAATTGCGTGGATCGATGCTCATGATATCAATCACTGGATTGTCTGGTCCAGACTCGATTATTTACAGACCGCCGTCGTATAGCTGGAATATTGCAGAGTGCGGCGTTAAACAACAAACCAACCAACCAACCAACCCGATTACAAGTTATGGAAGGGCCGAAGGGTGTCAGCGTTAATACAAGCAAGGTGCACTTTCACCCTTGTTTATACCAACTGTTCATAGTTAGGTATACTTACTTCTGCCTCAGATATTTTAAGAGGAGAACACACATCTTTGAGCTCAAAATAGATCTTCATCTCATCGTTGCTCAAACTGGCGAAGAATTTGTCGTCCATTGCAAATTTCAGATTCACACACACGAGTCTAATAATGAAAAGGAATTGAGTTAGAGACTGGGTATTGTTTTACTCCGCTTTAAGCAATAATTCAGCAATATCACGGCGGGGGACACCAAAAATGGGCTTCATACATTGTTCCCATGTTGGGAATCGAACCTGGGTGTTCGACGTGAGGAGCAAACGCTTTAACCAATGGGCTACCCCACCCCGAATTGAGTTACATATAAAGAAGGGCAATATTATTATACTCCTGAGATAAATAACACCGAGCAATTCCTGATATTGTTGTTCAAGAAAACCCCATTGGCTAATATAAGATTGATGTGTTGGTCCGTGACAGTTGTCCCCGGAGTGATTGGCGGAGGGAGGGACGGTGGGAAAAATATTACTTATCTGCAGGGGAAAAAATTTACACCCATGTCTGAAGGCGACTTAACATGAAACAAACAAGACATGTTTTTTCGATGCTGATGTATTAGATATGAGTACATATTTGTGTTTTTTACCGTTTCGGCGACTGTTTTCAGCCTTGTAACCTTTTGATAACGATTGTAATGTTTTGGTCAAATCCAGTTTTCAAGTGTATATTTCTTGTCCGGCAGTTATGACTTTTTTTTATAATGCAGCTAATGGGAATATTCCAACTCCTCTAAGTTGAGTGATCCCAAGCGAACCCGGTCTTCCGAGCTGTAACGTTACAAGGCTACTCCCCTCTCCTGACGGGGTGCATGTAACGTTGATGACTAAAGCATTACTTACAGAGTTTTTGTTTGGTCGTCCAGGGTTCCGGATGCCTCAAGCCAGTACGTCTCGACAAGCCAGGCCACCGCATTGAAGAACTTCGTCCGCATAATGTCAGTCTCATTGATGAACATAGCTATGTGGGCAGCCACCTGGAGGAAGGAGTGAGTGAGTTGTGTTTAACGCCGCTTTGAACAGTTCTATTCCAGTTATATCACGGCGTGTCAGCTTGATGCGGGAGGAAAGCCCGAATAGATGCAGGTTTACCACTTTGGTGAAACCTACAAGCACGGTGTTGGTGCTGACAAACCTAGAAAAATAATCGGGGCGAACCGGGATTCGAATCGACAATCATAGGTTTCCGGCGCGTCGAAGGGACGCAACTCTGCACACCGAATTGCGGCCCCTTAGACGAGCGTGCCCCCGCAACCTGGAGGAAACCATCAGAACACTTACTGAAAAACGACAAGTAACAGTTTTAGGTTACTTACTGAAAAACGACAAGTAACAGTTTTAGGTTACCTACTGAAAAACGACAAGTAACAGTTTTAGGTTACTTACTGAAAAACGATGAGTAACAGTTTTAGGTTACTTACTGAAAAACGACAAGTAACAGTTTTAGGTTACTTACTGAAAAACGACAAGTAACAGTTTTAGGTTACTTACTGAAAAACGATGAGTAACAGTTTTAGGTTACTTACTGAAAAACGACAAGTAACAGTTTTAGGTTACTTACTGAAAAACGACAAGTAACAGTTTTAGGTTACTTACTGAAAAACGATGAGTAACAGTTTTAGGTAACTTACTGAAAAACGACAAGTAACAGTTTTAGGTTACTTACTGAAAAACGACCAGCAACAGTTTTAGGTTACTTACTGAAAAACGATGAGTAACAGTTTTAGGTTACTTACTGAAAAACGACAAGTAACAGTTTTAGGTTACTTACTCAAAAACGATGAGTAACAGTTTTAGGTTACTTACTGAAAAACGACCAGTAACAGTTTTAGGTTACTTACTGAAAAACGATGAGTAACAGTTTTAGGTTACTCACTGAAAAAAGGACCATTAACAGTTTTAGGTTACTTACTGAAAAACGACCAGCAACAGTTTTAGGTTACTTACTGAAAAAACGACCATAAACAGTTTTAGGTTACTTACTCAAAAACGACCAGTAACAGTATAAGGTTACTTACTGAAAAAAGGACCATTAACAGTTTTAGGTTACTTACTGAAAAACGACCAGTAACAGTTTTAGGTTACTTACTGAAAAAAGGACCATTAACAGTTTTAGGTTACTTACTGAAAAACGACCAGTAACAGTTTTAGGTTACTTACTGGAAAAAGGACCATTAACAGTTTTAGGTTACTTACTGAAAAACGACCAGCAACAGTTTTAGGTTACTCACTGAAAAAAGGACCATTAACAGTTTTAGGTTACTTACTGAAAAACGACCAGCAACAGTTTTAGGTTACTTACTGAAAAAACGACCATAAACAGTTTTAGGTTACTTACTGAAAAAAGGGCCATTAACAGTTTTAGGTTACTTACTGAAAAACGACCAGCAACAGTTCTAGGTTACTTACTGAAAAAACGACCAGCAACAGTTTTAGGTTACTTACTGAAAAACGACCAGCAACAGTTTTAGGTTACTTACTGAAAAAAGGACCATTAACAGTTTTTTGTTACTTACTCAAAAACGACCAGTAACAGTATAAGGTTACTTACTGAAAAAAGGACCATTAACAGTTTTAGGTTACTTACTCCAAAACGACCAGTAACAGTTTTAGGTTACTTACTGAAAAAAGGACCATTAACAGTTTTAGGTTACTTACTCAAAAACGACCAGTAACAGTTCTAGGTTACTTACTGGAAAAAGGACCAGTAACAGTTTTAGGTTACTTACTGAAAAACGACCAGCAACAGTTTTAGGTTACTTACTGAAAAAAGGACCATTAACAGTTTTAGGTTACTTACTGAAAAACGACCAGCAACAGTTTTAGGTTACTTACTGAAAAAACGACCATAAACAGTTTTAGGTTACTTACTGAAAAAAGGGCCATTAACAGTTTTAGGTTACTTACTGAAAAACGACCAGCAACAGTTTTAGGTTACTTACTGAAAAAACGACCAGCAACAGTTTTAGGTTACTTACTGAAAAAAGGGCCATTAACAGTTTTAGGTTACTTACTGAAAAACGACCAGCAACAGTTTTAGGTTAGTTACTGAAAAAACGACCATTAACAGTTTTAGGTTACTTACTGAAAAACGACCAGCAACAGTTTTAGGTTACTTACTGGTGCCTCACTTCCCTGACATGACTGATTGAACGTGGCTGAGTGTATTGGGGTCGTAGCTATTCAGCCCCTGGGCAAATTTGGGTTCGAGGACAGGCTAAGTGGATCCTGATTACCAAAGGACGCAATTCTGCACAACGCATGCACACGCAGGGTCCAGGTGCATATTTTAGGGCGAAGTCGACGGTGGCCTTAAGTACTGAAGTAATATTTTGTTATACAGGAGTATATCGTCGGATGTAATGGAGATATTGTTTGAGTGGCATTTCTTGGCAGTCGTTTATTGCATAAGGACAATTTGTAACTTTAAACGTTTTCACTTAGCTTGACGTATATTTGTTGTAAACGATGGTCTAATAACCAAAGAAACGAAATAAATAACGGCCTATATAACATAGTGAAAGATTCATTCAGTCTTCACGAGATTACTTTGACAGGTTTTACTGTTACGAGTTGAAAATGAAAACTATTTTGAAATCAATAGAAGTAATTTATAAACCATAAGCAAACGGTACTATATAAAGACTTGAGCTCTGGAAACCAAGTTGGCTATTCGGACGGAAGGACAGCCGACGGTGACTGTTCGGATATCCTAGTTTTTGGTGTATGGGGTGCAATAAACAATAAGGCTAGCAACAAGCTGGGCTAATCCTACTTGTCTTGACAATAATACATACTGTTGACATGGGCATCTCGGCTAACAGTTGCTTCTCGGACAGGTAGATAATATACGGAGCGTACATCTGTAGCGTGTCGGCTGACCATGAGGACAGTGGCTGACCAACACAGCTTCGGATCCGTTCAGCAATTCGAATCTTCACTCCCCGGGTTATGTAGTTGTAGAAGTCATTGTGTACGAGACGTTCCATCTGGGTGCTACATATTTCAATTAAATAAAAAATAATTAAATTAAAATATCACGATATTGAATAAAGCCAAGAGCATATCAGCAATATCAATCGACGGGGATACAAAGCATGGCCTTCACATAAGGTGCCACTGGAAAGACGATCTTCAACCAAGAGCGCTTTAACAACGACAACAAGCTCACTGCAATCTTCGCTATGAGGCATGTAAAACTTTAGTGATCGACATTATCACTTTGGTTGGATCCATCGGCACGTGTTTGGTGCTGACCCTCGAACATCATGATCATGTCCAATTTGGTGTTCCTTTGAGTGAGTGAGTGAGTGAGGGAGTGAGTTGTGTTTTAACGCCGCTTTTAACAATATTCCAGTTATATTACGGCGTGTCAGCTTAATGTGGGAGGAAAGCCCGAAGTGATGCAGGTCTCAGACGTTTACCACTTCGGTGAAACCCACGAGCACGGGTATGGTGCTGACAAACCTAGAAACATAATCGGGGCGAACCGGGATTCGAACCCACAATCATAGGTTTCTGGCGTGCCCAAGGGACGCAACTCTAGATCTGCACAGCGAATTGCGGCGCCTTAGACGACTGGGCCACCCGTGCCCCCGGTGTTCCTTTGAATGTGTCATGAAAATGCTTTTGATCGATTCATTTGTATGCCTTTATATGTGTCATGTGTATACCTTTGGATGTGTTACGTATCTCCCTTTGAATGTGTCATGTATATGTCTTTGAATTTATTTTCCATGCCTTTGAAATAAATCCTAATTTTTCTTAAGTGTAATGGTTATGAGTGGGTGAGTGAGTGAGTGAGTGAGTTTGGTTTTACGCCGCTTTTAGCAATATTCCAGCAATATCACGGCGGGGGACACCAGAAATGGGCTTCACACATTGTACCCTTGTCGGGAATCGAACCCGGGTCTTCGGCGTGACGAGCGAACGCTTTAACCGCTAGGATACCCGACAGCCCCGTAATGGTTATGACTAAGGTATATATCATACTTATACCTTTGAAATGTGTTACGTATGTTCTTTGAAATATGTAATGTATATGTCTTTGAAATTCCATGTCTTTGCAATGTGACATTTAGATCCGACTCTATGTAATGATAGTCTGTTGTTTCACAAACTCAGTTCGGTTTGAATTTAAGAGTGCCAAGCAGAAGTTGAGGGAGCCCTTAACCAAGTAAACGACCGTTTTTTAATGAGTTTTCAACGTGGAAGCTTTTTTACTTGGCTCTGTCTCTACATATAAAAGGTTGTCCCAACGCACATTCGCCTGGGGAACGAGCGACGGAAGTGATAGGAGAGTTATCGCCCTTTGAGACACAACCATCGGCCATTACCTTTCACAAAACGCCGAGCTTTGAACAAGGTCCACATCCTTCTCCGTCAGAGCGTCGGGAACCAACGTCAGCAGCGGGATGTCCCAGTCTGACGGCAAGGGATACGCCTGTTTCAGTTTGTCCAACAGTGCTTTGGCCTTGTACCCTGGCATCCATCGGATAGTCTACAACCAAGGAATGCCATACATATATATGCCTCGCAATAGGAATAGTTATTTGCTTCTGTGGATTGCTCCTATGTTTAATTTCAGAAAGAGAAAAATACTTCTTGAAAACGATTTTGTAAATGATCATTTTGGTTTGATTTTACAAACAATAATGTGGTTTTATTTGCATTGTGAAAACTTGATGATGGGGTGAAGGTTAACGTTGCCTTGAACATCACGTCAGTCATACTTATCATGGCGTGTCAGTTTAACGTTGGAGGAAAGTCCGAAGTGACGGTATTTTACTACTTTACCGTTACATTTAGGAACAAGAACAGGATGCTCACCAAAGAAACTAAGGGATTCGAACCAAGACCCGGGATTCCTTGCACGGCTCAATAAACAGGCGCAAATTAGCACTTTGAATTGTGGGTACTCGAACCATCAGGCTACACGTGCTCCCGAAAGCTACATGACGTTCAGAAAGTAGTCTTTTCGTGAGTTATTTTGCCTTTTTATCTAAACTGAAGTACAAAAGAAAGTACACACCCCACTATTCTGACAGTAAAACAAGACAGGGCAAACTTTATTGTGATTGTAATGTTTAATGTCATTGTTGAGTCATTTTCAAACATGTTTAGAATGGATTTAAAGATTTGTGGCCACATAAAACTTTTCAGTTGACAATAACGTCCATAGGCTGTCACTCATCAAAAATCCACTTGTAGAAATGATGACAGTCCCAGGTATGAAGGCCATGCGAGTGGTCTCAGTACCTCGTATGACCCCCATTTGAGTTAATGCAAGCCAGGACACGCCTTCTCATGGAAAAGGTCAACCGTCGGATGACGTCATTAGGGATCCGCTGCCACTCTTCTCGCAGAGCCTGTTCCAGCTGTGGTATGGTGGTTGGTGGCTGTGCACGTCGTCGCAACTGTCTACCGAGATGGTCCCACAGGTGTTCAATGGGTGACAAGTCCGGAGAGCGTGACGGCCAAGGCAAAAGCTGAATGTTCTGACGGTTCAGGAAGTCCATAGTGAGTCTAGCGGTGTGTGGTCGGGCGTTATCTTGCTGAAAAAGAAACCCCTGCCTTTGCCCCTGCATGAAGGGGATCACCACCGGCTGTAACACTTGGTCCCTGTACCTCTGGGCTGTCAGGGTCTGGTGGAGAATGACCAAATCCGTCTTCTGTTCGCCGCAAATGCCTCCCCAAACCATAACGCTGCCTCCGCCAAAAGGATGAACTTGTTGGACACATGCTCCAGCCAGTCGCTCGCCTCTACGTCGGTAGACTCTCACTCTACCGTCAGCATGGTAGAGGTTGAATCGACTTTCATCGGTAAAGAGGACTCGTGACCAGTCACGACGTTGCCAGCGTCTGACTCTTCTTGCCCAGCGAAGACGGCTGATACGGTGTTGAGCGGTCAAGGTCATCCCACGGAATGGTCGATAAGCCCGGATACCGGCAGCTCGTAGTCGTCTCATGACTGTGTTCCTGCTGATGTGATGACCTTACGCTGTCGACGCTGTTGATGCCATGGTGAGGAACCTGTTGCGCAGGTGTAATGTGCGTATGTACCGGTCTTCTGCAGGGGTCGTCACTCTCGGTCTTCCTCTTCTTGGGCGGTCGGATGTCTGGCCAGTCTGGTTGACACGACGAAGGAGTCTGATAATGGTTTGCCTGGTGCAGGCAAGGGTCCTTGCGATGTGACTGTTCGACGCCCCCACTTGGGACATTCCCACGGCTCTCTCTCGCTCCGCTGCTGTTAAACGTGGCATTTGTCTTGTGTTTTTTTCGTTGAATGTGTAATGAACGATAGAATCCACTGCCTTTTATACTGTTTCTACGCATATTGCACGTGCAAATGGAGAAAATTGCCATTTTCACAATGTGTGCTTTTGTTGCCTATCATAATGTCAAGGTTACGTTTCTGCGATATGCTCTCAATGGTTTTGTTCATTACATTACGATAGCGCCAAAAATGTAACAACTTTTTCAACCATATGCGTAATATATGATATTTTAGGGGTGTGTACTTTCTTTTGTACTTCAGTGTATTTCTTTTGTGTACCGGTCGATATATTCTCACAGTTGTTTGTAGATAAATGCTACAATAATATTCCGGGTTACTGGTTTTCAATGTCAAAATAAAAACTTGCTAATCTAATCGTGCACCTTAAGTTATTTGACTTTTTCACTTTTTAACATAATTCGATGGTTGTAGATTTCCTTTTTCTAAATGTAACAATATGCAATGTGCGCAGTGCTAAATAGGGGTTCGCTGATCTTCTGGTCATTTAATGGTAAACCTTCTTTTATTATGTTTTATATCTACGATATATATTTATCGTGTACCAGGCGAAAACGTATCTAACGCTTTGTGACGTCACATGAGTTTGGTACAGAATAACCTACTAGCTACGAAGTAAAACTAACGGATTATCTGCCCAAAGCGAATTTATTTCAGCGTGGAACTTTCACCAATATTTCATGATGGAACGATATTTAATGATGGTTACATTACGGTAAACTACGTTTATAACAAACTGACCGATATAACGAACTTATGTTTTAGTCCCGGCCTTTTTTTGTATATATGCTTATAACGAACTACGGTTATTACGAAATAATATTAGTGGTCCCTTCGAGTTCGTTATAATCGTGGTTTACTGTACTTGTCTTTTGTTTCTTGGACAAGGTAATGAAAACATAATGATCAACAAAGCAAATCGGTACATGTATAATAGCTATGCGATAAATAGCAAAGAACTATGAAGTGAGTGAGTGAGTGAGTGAGTATGGTTTTACGCCGCTTTTAGCAATATTCCAGCAATATCACGGCGGGGGACACCAGAAATGGGCTTCACACATTGTACCCATGTCGGGAATCGAACCCGGGTCTTCGGCGTGACGAGCGAACGCTTTAACCACTAGGCTACCCGACCGCCCCAAGAAGAACTATGAAGAACCAAGCATATTTTATTTCACGATAAAAAATTGTTCTATCATGACGTCATTTCTGAAGATTGACGCTTGCTGATGACGTCGTAAACTGGGCGACGTTATTGTTTAGAGGGACGTCGCTGGTGAGTTGTTCCCATAGTTGTAGCTGGGCAACGCACATAAACGCAATGGCCGAACGATCGTATTCCAAAGTGGGAGAGAAATGACATTCAGCACTGGGAGAAAAGGTACCGATAATCGACGTGAGAATTGTGAGAATATGTTGTTGGAAACACCAAAGTTAAAAAACCCTGTCATAAAATGGACGTATCCGACATTGCCGAGGTCGGATTATATTCAGGGAGTCATCATTATTTTATGCAGGTAAATATTTTTTAAGCTTGTTGGTGAGGTGAAATGGGGTTTAACGTCGCGTCCAAGATTATTGCACTTATATAGCGACGTGCATGTTCGTGTGTTTGTTTGTGTGGCTGCTTGTACTAGTCCGGACTGATGCCGATTTATAGTGCTAGCTCACTGAGATACCATGCCGCAGTTTAACATGAATACCCCACTCAGACACAGTATACTGACTCCGAGCCGACCAGTCCTTGTTTTAGCCCCTTAATGCCGAGCGCCAGACAGGGTAACAACAAGTACCATCTTTTAACGTCTTTTGGTATGACGCGGTCGGGGATCGAACCCCGGACCTTCCGCTCTCCGGACGCTCTACCACTAGACCACAACCTCCTTTACAAGCTTAAAAAACCGCCTCCGTGGTCTAGTGGTAGAGCGTCCGCCCGGAGAGCGGAAGGTCCGGGGTTCGATCCCCGGCCGGTGAGCCACCCACGCCCATATTGCACGAACCTTCGGTTGCTCCCGTGTTGCCGTTACCAACATGATGCAACGTTACAGACAGGCAGGGCGGACCGCTGACAGGCCAAGAACAGGCAGACCCAGGGTGACCACGCCCCATGATGACCGGTACTTGCGTACCTTGCACCTCCGAAATCGCTTCCTGACAGTGACGTCATCGGCGACAAATGCCTTAGGTCACAGGGTTAGTCGACAGACAGTGGCCAGGAGACTCAGGGCTCATGGAATCAGGGCTTTTAGACCATACAGGGGACAGCTATTGACAGCGCAACATCGTCGTCTACGATTGAGATGGGCACGGACTGTACGACGTTGGCAACAACGTGACTGGCAGAGGGTTGTCTTCACTGACGAAAGTCGATTCTGTATGTTTAGGGCTGATGGAAGACAACGTGTTTACCGCCGAATTGGTGAACGAAGGCGGCGTGTTGCGTGCAGGAGGTCGTACCATATGGTGGAGGGAGTGTCATGGTGTGGGGAGGGATCTGTGGGCAGGAGAGGACACCGCTGGTCATCGTTGACGGAAACTTGACAGCTCAGCGTTACATGGATAACATTCTTCGTCCAGTTGTCCTACCATTTCTCCAACAGCAGCCACGTGGTGTCATTTATCAGCATGACAACGCTAGAGCCCATGCAACCAGAATTGTCACTAACTTCCTCGCAGCCAACAACGTCATAGTCCTGCCGTGGCCTGCACGCTCACCCCCATGGAACACCTCTGGGACTTGATAGATCGTCGTGTTCGACAACGACCACACTCTCCAGCCAACCGGTAAGAATTGATCTTGGCCCTCCAAGAAATGGCGTCAAATCCCACGTGACCTCATCAGACGACTGACTTTTTCTGTGCGCCGAAGAGTTTTTGCGTGTATTGAGGCATTTGGTGGTCACACACGCTACTAATGACTTGTTATTGAACGTGAGCGATTGTTTATGTACTCTGCCTATTGTCCATGATTCTGAAAGCTCGAGGGGGGGGGGGGGGGGGCTCTGACGTCATGCGTCACGTCACGGTATGATTGTCATTTTCAGTGTTGATTATGTTGATATATAGATCTTCTCAATACACTTTACTTCATGCATGTATGTTTTGTTGTTTTTGAGCAAGAGTGATTTCAAACTCTGGTAAAGTTCCTTTTGGACGTCAGTTTATATTGTTAAGGCTATTTCGCAAGACATCAGAGGAATTTCAGACACCACTGAGTGATACGCCGGATACCTCCTAGTTTTAATGACCTTACTGAAGGCACAATCACGACAACAAGCGCACACACTATAATAACGTTATATGAATAACAGATACGCCCAGTCGCCGGGACCTGGACGGTTGGCACAATGCTGTTGTTATCGCCTGTTGGTATTTACCGAAACCGACACCACAGCCAGCATTCGTGACAGTAGACACAGATGTTATCAAGGATCTTTTAAGCATGCCTGTCTATACGATCAACTTTGACGTTTTCGGGTGAATGGTTTAGTTATATGTTCACGAGGGCATTTCACCCCACGTCGACGTTCTTCATTACAAAGGTTTCACAATAGTGAAGCAAGACGTATGATAGTGTTTCTGAGGTGAAATGGGGTTTAACGTCGGGTCCAAAATTATTGGACTTATATAAGGACATGCATGCACGTGTGTGTGTGTGTGTGTGTGTTACTGCTTGTACTAGTCTGAACTAATGCAGGTTTTATAGTGCTAGCCCACTGAGATAGTTAAACATGAATACCCCACTCAGACACAGTATACTGACCCCGAGGCGACCAGTCTTAATGCCGAGCGCCAGGCAGGGTAACAACAAGTACCATCTTTAAACGTCTTTTGGTATGATGCTAGTGTTTGTACCAATACTGTTTCACAGAAACATTATATGCATTAAAGATACTACTGTGACTTAACTTCTTGTTATAAATTCTTGTTCCGTTTTTAGTTTGAATTTTATCTCTTATTCGTTTCGAGGTTTGGTTTGCTGTTAGCTTGCAATGTGTTTTTGCATTACTATAGTTTACAGCTATGGACAGAATCTTGAACAACTTGAAATTAACTCAACATGTTTATGTGGCTGGCATAATTAAAGACATTATGCAGGACATGAATACCTTTGTTTTCTTTTTGAGTGATTTATATATTACGAAAAGCTGACTGACCATCCACCACATACCCCAGAGATACCGCAATACTAGATTCCGGAAAGATGCGTTAAATTGCGCCGTCTTTCGTGTTCCAGGCTTAAGTGGGGTCATTGCTTTCAACAAGTTTGTTGAACTCACATGACTGGTCTATAGGTAAATGATAATCGTATCATGCAATTCAGCATTTCTTTCGCAATAGGCGGTAAGCTCAGTAACGTTAGCTAGGATAGTTCTCAAGACGTGTGGGGCAGGACATGCTTTCCCTTTTCGCAAACATTTAAAGTGATCCACTCATATAACTGTCGCCGTTATTTTGCCCTTTAGGTCCAATGGAATCAGTTTCCTCTTTGTTTGTTTGTTTGTTCGTTGTTTAACGCCTCACCTAGCAATATTCTAGCTATAAATAGTCTATAAATACTCGAGTCTGGACAAGACAATCCTGTGATTGACATCATGGGCATTGATCGACACAACTGGGATACGATGATATGCATCAACAAAGTCAGCGAGCCTGACCACCCGATCCCGTTAGTCGCCTCTTACGACAAGCATAGTCGCCTTTTACCAGGGGAGCCCCAAAACATCGGTTCAACACAAAATACACAACCAGAGACAGATGTACGTTTACGAGTATTGTTATATGGCAGTGTATTTTGTTGTTCAACAGTGATTGTGACTGCGTTACATTGATTCTGTTGAGATTCGGTAGACGCTCATTTCATAGTCTTTGGACAGTGATCAGTTGTCAAGAAGTTACTATATTTAGATACAAGTGTGGTGTTTAAACTTCCGGCCCGGTATACCGCGGACGGTGATAGTATGTTACCGAATCTTTTGTAATGTTCCAAGCTGTGAGGGCACTATATGGAACGTTCCAGTTGGTTCTACAATATACGGGAACAAGAGCGTGTTTACGTATCTCTGGCGCTTTTTCATCACATCGGAACCAGCTTTCATGTGAGGATTGCTCACCATCCCTGATTCCCTGATATATTATTTTCACTGACGTTTGCTATCACTACTTTGTATTTGATACTGACAACTTCCATATCATTATATATTGCCATTGAATATTGTACAACCACTCTATCGTGTACTGCCATTGAAATTGCTGTGCAGAAATTTGTGTTGATAAAGCTAGTTAATTTTGAAATACATTTGTTGATTTATACCACTTGTTAGTTGTTTGTTGGTTCCACTCTGGGTTCTTTTACGTACAGATTTCTGGGTTAACATATTGTTTTAATTTGGGAATCGACACGTAAAAGCGTGCATGTGCATAAATATATGCACAACTGTATGAATGCATAAAAACATTCACAAAGACGCACGATCGGGTTCCTTACCTCTCTTCCTTGTCTGGCCAAGGCAGCTACTCCAGCGCAGTACGCGCATCTGTCGAGATACTCTGAGAGGGTTTCCACGGTAACCAATGGCTCCTTCAACCTCGTACAGACGGCTGACAACATGTCCTGGTCCATCCGACTCATCAGATCACACATCAGGTTCCCCTGGTCACAATAATCACTTGAGTCAGTCGGATCTGACACACCCAGATACATTTGTTAAGTTTGTCGGTTTACATTATTCGCAAACTACGGTTGAGTGAGTGAGTTGTCTTTCACGCCGCTTTTAACAGTATTCCAGTTATATCACGGCGTGTCAGCTTAATGTGGGAGGAAAGCCCGAAGTGATGCAGGTCTCACTTCGGTGAAACCCACAAGCACGGGTATGGTGCTGACAAACCTAGAAACACAATCGGGGCGAACCGGGATTCGAACCCTTAATGATAGGTTTCTGGCGTGCCCAAGGGACGCAACTCTGCATAGCGAATCGCGGCGCCTTAGACGACTGGGCCACCCGTGCCCCCAAACTACGGTTGACCTCCATCGAACGAACGTCAGTAGCTTGGCTTTGAACAGTTTCAGTTGTATAGGGCATGCACGGTTGGCCAAGTCGTGTAAAGAGTTGTGTCCCTTGTGTACACCAGAAACCTATGATCCTGGTTTGTCAGCGTGCTCATGGGTTTAGCCAAATGGTAAACGTCTGAGACCTGCATCACACGAGGCAGCCGTCCAACATTTAGCTGACAAGCGGCGTTAAACCAAGCTCCCTCACTCAATCACTCAACTGGATATTGCCTGTTTTAATGTGGGAAGAAATCCCACCTATAACCGGGTATGGTACAGATTTGCACATGTTTCGGCAAACGCATGCTGGCTAAACTTGTTAAGCTTGCTGCGCAATGCAACAGTGGAACCAGTTTACTGACCTTCATAATGAGGTGGATGGACGGCTCCCACGTGTTTATGACGAACAGAAGCGAATAGTAATCAATGGTGTCCCACAGACTCCGGATATTGAGATATGTCTGACGTGACGTGACGTCTAGCTGGTCCCCGATGTAGACAAGACGGGTATGAATCTCCTCCACAGTGAACACACCGATATCATGGTCTAAAATGATAATATATATATATGTAACATCTTTAAAATTGATTTAGTTTGTGGTTGCAATAGTCCAGCTACATGACGGGGGCCTGTGATTAAGTGAATCTGGACGACCACTGCGGCTGATATTGTGAACACCAATCAACCAAGTCACCGAGTCTGACCACCTGATTCACTGAGTTGCTTCGCACGACCAGCGTGTCTGTACATTAAATATGGTTCATACAAGTCACTAATTTCTGCTCATCGCTGAGTCTAACCTGCGTGTAACGTTCACTTGATATTTAAAATACATAAGGTAAAAAAGCATGTATCATTTGTTCTTCGAAATCCCCCAATCATTATTCTATAATCAGGTTTTTGAAAGGCATTTAGAAGTGATACACACAAGGAAGAGAATATATGGATGTCAACTTCTTTATTATTTCGGAGTATATGCTTACTCAATCTTCATTCACCTGATTGAGGAGTAAGCATATACTCCGAAACGTTGTGTTCCTCATAATAAAGAAGTTGAAATCCATTTATTCTCTTTCTTATCATTCTATAATGTTTTTTATTACCAAATTCTAACGACCCGTCATATGAAATGCTTGATACGAGTTACTTAGAAGTTGATGGGTGACAAAGTAAAGATAATTTATGGCGACGTTTCGATATAGGTCCTAGATTGCTTGACAACGGCGCAAGGATCTATGCCGAGAAGTCACCTTTACGGCAAGGATCTATGCCGAGAAGTCACCTTTACGGCAAGGATCTATGCCGAGAAGTCACCTTTACGGCAAGGATCTATGCCGAGAAGTCGCCTTTACGGCAAGGATCTATGCCGAAAAGTCGCCTTTACGGCAAGGATCTATGCCGAAAAGTCGCCTTTACGGTAAATAAAAACGTTGCTCTCCATAAATTATCTCTACTTTGTGATCCGTTATATAACTACAAAAGTACACCCTGGAGGGAAAACACCCCATCTTGCAATCTAGAACAAAATAATCGCAAATTTGAATATTGTTCAAATTGTGATATAAGCATTGAAATTTACTTCAAAATTCATATTTGTAACAATACTGAGAAAAATGCGTTACTCGTCTGAAATGGCAAGATGGCTATCGACAAAACACGGGGCTACCTGTCACCACTTTAACCATTAATTACTTTGATTGCAAATTATTTTGCAGGTGTACAAAGGTGTAAAGAAGCATGTTATCTAAATCAGACACAGCCCAGATGCAATGACAAGCATGAATACTATGGACATAGCATAACTTTTGACACTTATGAAGGACTGGTTGGTTGGTTGGTTGTATAACGCCGCACTCAGCAATATTCCAGCTATATGACGGCGGTCTGTGAATAATCGAGTCCTCACCATAAATCCAGTGATTAATATCATGAGCATCGATCCACGTAACTGGGATCGATGACATGCATCAACCAAGTCAGCGAGCCTGACCACCCGATCCCGTTAGTCACCTCTTACGACAAGCATATAGTCGCCTTTTGCGGCAAGCACGGGTTGCTGAAGACTTATTCTACCCCGAATCTTCCCGGGTCATTGAGGCTATGTTGAAAGAGACATGAGTACTGTCTTTGGTTTGCAGAACTTTTACGATAATTACATACTTGAAGCAGGGTTACTGACTATCAAGCATAAATATCCAGTCAACACACAGTCACATGTTGATTCATATTGTGATAGTAACTCAATCTCCCTACCTGGACTAGCTATCAGTTGATCGTAGAACGTCCTCTGTTCATCTGTGGTAAGATAGCTTCTCACAGTGTTTACGTTCACTGGGTTGTTTTCAAGGAGTTTGTCTGACTGGGTGCCCGTCCCGTAGGCTGTACTGCATCGCAGCGTTGGGAGAGCCTTAAACCGGTTGTAGAAGGTAGTAGCTTGTATCAGTGTTCCTCTCATTTCACCGGCACATCGTCTGACCGCTGGAAGATTGTGTCAAGTTCTTATATTGGGGTGTAATATCTATTTATCTGATGGGATGTTATTTTATAATTTTCAGATTTATTTGCAAAAAGCGCTTCATATTTTCTTTTAATTTCTTTTGGATTACGTTTAAACGAACCGCAAACATGTTAAAGGTATGTTAAATGTGTCGTGATCGGAATGTATACTTATCCATAATATGTCTTTGGACAAACTTCCCATTACAAGATGGGTTTTTAAGATGGGATTTTGTGTGTGTGTGTGTGTGTGTGTGTGTGTGTGTGTGTGTGTGTGTGTGTGTGTGTGTGTGTGTGTGTGTGTGTGTGTGTGTGTGTATGTGTGTGTGTGTGTGTGTGTGTGTGTGTGTGTGTGTGTGTGTGTGTGTGTGTGTGTGTGCTTGTATTAGTCCGGACTGATGCCGACTGAGATACCATGCCGCAGTTTAACACGAATACCCCACTCAGACACATATATTGACTCCGAGCCGACCAGTCCTTGTTTTAGCCCCTTGCAGGGTAACAACAAGTACCATTTTATTACGTCTTTTGGTATGACGCGGCCGGGGATCGAACCCCGGGCGGACTCTACCACTGGACCACGGAGACGGTCTGTGGATATAGATGTAAAATGATTTTCAGTTATGAGCATCGATTTTTGAAATATTCACAAATATTCCGAACTAGTGGTATTGCTTCCAGTTTACATGCACCAATCTGGACTGAGGTAGTTGGGAGCAGAGCTGTTGATGTAGAACAGTAGTTCTCTCTTATGCAAGATCTAATGACACCGAGGCAGGTTTCCCCATACTCAATACCGTCTGATACAGCAGATGATGATAAGGGAAATTGACATGTTTAACAGGGTCCACTTGCACAAAGCGATCTCAGCGCTTAGACTTTCGTAAGCCCATGTTAAAGTATATATGTGAGTTACGATCATCTTAGCGCTAAGATCTCGTTTTAAAAATGGGTCCTGGTTGTCGTAACTGTGGTAACTAGGAGAATATTTCCTCATTGAGTGTCCAAAACATATTAATTGTGAAAGAAGAGGAGCTAGGACAGAACCCTGTGGTACCCCTTAATGAAGTGAAACTTTTACCGGTATAGTCGCCATCATCTCGATGGCCTCACTGCCGCCTATATTTTACAGCCTTAATTAGGTATAAGATGTTTTGATCTACAGTGTCAAATGAAGCTGCACTAAGATAACTAGAGTCATATAGTTGTCTCTTGCTCCAATGATCCAAAGACCCAAAGGCAGCAAGGAGAGGATTTGTGATCCCTTATCCTCTTTTCTACCGGGCATTCTTGTATCATCTCCTTTTCTTCTTTTTACAAGGGGCTACGGGTGACCCAGACGTGTCGACATCACGTTGAACACTTGCGGAAATTACTCTTGCTTTCTCATCTCATGATGATCGCGGTCAGGGGGTTCGAACCCGATTCCCTCGGACTATGATCTTTTAATTACTTTGTCAACACCTTACCCGTTCGCCTTGGTTTCACCAAAGTTGCAATCTCATTAAAATCAGATCTTAGTTCTCGCTACCGCTGAACAAACCCCTGAGGATATCCCATTACGGGTCACGTCAGAGCGACCTTGCGCGAACTTTGACCAACCAATGGAATGACCAATCAGAGGGCAGCTTTCTCGTGCTTTACGGCATTAATTTCAAATTGGCGACTACGCTTCGAAACATATTTTGATTCATTCTCGATTATAAATTTGAAACCTGAACAAAAACACATTCTGGAATGGCTAATAGATGGTCTAGATTGTATGGATTCAGTCGTTAAACCCGTAACTATCGTTCGGAATACCCCGTGTTAAAGTTTTCGAGGTTGCATGATTAGAAATCACATTCCGACTGTCACTTTCATTATTGGTAAGCGACGCTCTGATTAGTCGGATGAGAGGTCGTTCTGACGCGACCCCTAATGGGAAGTCTTCAGATCTTTGTTTAGCGGTAGCGAGAAATAAGGTCTGATTTTAATGAGATTGCCAAAGTCGTAAACGTCGAAGACCTGTATCACAGCGGGCCTTCGTCTCACATCACATCTGACACGCCGTGATATAAGTGAAATACTTTCAAGGCGGCGAATTTCTTGATCTTGACCGCGAAGACAGTTGCAAACTGAATTATATAGCTCAAGTTCATCAGTGTGATCTATAAGGTTTCCATCTGGCTTAATGCTATACAGATTAACGATTAGAGTCTACAGCTAGTAAAAGTTGTGTTTATTTTTTCCATGTCAGATGACTCTTTGCTTGAATAACTGGAGAGAGATCCAGAACAGTTTTTCCACTGTGCCGGGCAGTGACAGCTTTTGTTTGTCGGCACTGCATCATCTATTCATCGAGGTCATCATTTTTTTTCTTAATAGCAATCATTTTTTTAGGATGGCACACATACAGGCCCCACGCTCTACTGCCTGATACTCATTTTACGACTGGTATCTACTGGATATCCATTTTGCCCCGGTGTCCCTAGGAGGCTCTTAAACTGTAAATCTGTATTATACATTATACATTTTGTCACATATACATTTTTTCGAGACTGTATAATTCATTTGCATTTTATTTAATTAGTGGGTGCTTATCTTTGGACAATGATCAATGTCTTTCAAAACAAAGGTCGACACAATGGCGACGGGACGTTTCTCCGAAAAGTGAGTATATGCAATAGAGTGGGCGGGAAACTAGAGCCTACGACTTAAGCAAAAGATGGTGTACAGCACGAAATTTTGATCAAGTTACAAAGTTACAAATCTGGTGTCTAAATCACCAAAAACAATTAACAAATGGACAAGTTGACAATTAAGTTTGTAAATAAATATACTTGATAACGTAATTACACATATAAGTATATTGGTACAATTTGCACTCAGTTACATGGAATACTTTGAAGTAATTTGAAAATGTATTACATGGACACGTATACACGTAAAGGGCAAGGTAAGGATATCCGTCACTTGGATACGGGAAAGTATTGTAACGGTTTAGTTTAATCATATATGTATTTTATTCTCATGAAAAGGATTGGGCACAAGTTATCACAACTTAGAACGCCCTCTCCCATAGATTTACATGTATGCTTATTTACAGTTAATAAATCAAATGACAGAATGGAAAGAAAAGAGACAGAGAAACGTATGTACATTCACATTGTTCACTCAAACCTTTTTGTTTTCTTTATATATTTATGTATATTCCTAAAAACGCTTTCGTTCACATGGTTAGTTTCATTAATGTCATAGATAGCATTTCTTCATTTAATTTGTAGACTTAAAACTGAAAGAAAATATTTTTTTAGAATGCCTGTTACCTAAGAAGTCGGTAACGTTTAAAGCAACACGTTGTTACGGTAAATTCAAGGAACACACGTGCATATGATGTATACATGCAAATAGAAAATGTAAATATTTACCTAAGAGCAGTGAGACTGAAAGGAGAAAGCGAACCATCTTGCAGTGAATGGGTCACTTCTCTCACTGGAAGTGACTGCTTTTTGAGTCAATGACCAAGTACATATGACCAATTGTCGAGTGCCGTCGCTATACACAACAAATACAACGGGTTCATATTCCGCTGGCGTGTTGAATAATCTCCATGACGCCTGTCTTGTTAAGACTGTGTTGCTTACAGTATCGTGACTTGGCTTCAGAAGTCTTTCCGAACAATACATTTTGTGAACACGGGTGTACATTGTCTATGTCGTGCCATCTGTCGTGATCTTTGTAGTTATGTGGGGCGAGGCTATTAGGACGTAAATAAGGATCCCGGGAGAGTGCGGCATAGCGTGAGGGTTGAGATAGGAACCACATCGACGGTGACCGTGGTGCATGTCCACGTACAACTTAATGATATTGCGGTTTTGGTTTCTGTTGCAAATAGAACGTTCAAGTGAGTGAGTTTTGTTTTACGACACTTTGAGCAAAATTCCAGCAATATCACGGCGGGGGACACCAGAAATGGGCTTCACACATTGTCGGGAATCGAACCCGAGTTTTCGGCGTGACGAGCGAACGCTTTAACCACTAGGCTACCCGACCGCCCCTAGAACGGTCAAGAAGACCTGTGTAATTATAGAAATTGTGTCCACGATCCGGGATCAGTACAGTAAACATAATTTTGCTATCATTCATTTGATCTATACTTGTACACTTATTTCGTCAAGTCAGCTCAAATTGGTTGGTTTGGCTTTTTTCGTGATAAAATTGATTTCTATCATTGAATTTTATTTGAGTTTGTTTATTTGCTGTTTAACGCAACAATCGGCAATACTCTACTTATATGACGGTGGTCTGTAAATAATCGAGTCAGGACCAGATAATCCAGTGATTGACGTCATGAGCATCGATACACGCAATTGGGATACGAGCCTGACCACCCGATCCCGTGAGTCGCCTCTTACGACAAGCATGGGTTGCTGAAGACCAATTCTACCCCGGATCTTCACGGGTCCATTAAATTGTGCCAGATATAACAATGCACAAAATGTAACATGTTATAATGCATGTATATGCCACATACTTTTCATGATGATGCTTTAAGAAATAGCTAAGAGATGGGATCCGAATTATGTGAGCAGCATTAACAAAGTCTACATAGTTTCTGGAATCATACACATACACACAAATAAATCCCGGCGTTTCAGTAGAGAGAAAAAAGACTACGAAAATACGTTTATGCTAGCTATAACTAGGTGTGTGTTATCTTAAGGCTTTATGCTTGTCATATATACTCTGTACGTCACTTTCTTGATAACTGTGTTAGAACCTACACAAAAGCGTCGCTCCTTAATCAAATAGAGTAATTGTTCATTCATATATATTATCCTTACGTAGTAGTCCGACTTCTAAATGTCTCTCAAAGAAGTCACTCTTCCTAACCGTTAACGACGACCATTTTCTACGAGACAGCGAGTGAGCGAGTACGGATTTACGCCGCTTTTAGCAATATTACAGCAATATCACGTTGGGGGACACCAGAAATCCATTTTCAACGAAGCATTCATGACGCACTGAACATAAATTCATATGAACTTATTCTTAATAGACATGTGAAATAATTAGACATAATCGAAATTTCGAAAAAGTATTAAATAATTCAAATAATGAGAAAATACACGAAATTTATATTCCTAAAAATCTACCGCTGAAGTGACAACATCAGGCTTTCGTATGTGAAAAACATAGACTGAAAATAGCATTGACTCGAGGAAGGATTTACATTTTATGAGTGCTTCGAGAAGTTTTACATTTTGTTGTCGAAGCAGGTGAACAAAGTGATGTAAGACTTTGCTGTACACTGTATACTTGCTCAATACACATCCCGTGAAAACTACTTTGTCATAGATACACACATATTTCGCAGTACCGATCACAAATGCAATGGTCGATGTTTGAATCTCTGATTGTATGTGAACATATCCATACACTGAAACAAGAAAGAAACACAACGCAAATTCATTTAAGAAAATTGAAAAAACTCCCTTCGTCATGTCCAGGACTGTCATTGTAAAGCACGGCTTCGTTTGTGTACAGTGCAATGTCTGTTACAAGGGGCGTTCAAGTTTTGCAACTTCAATATAAGACCAAGTCGCAGAATAGCTTTTGCACTTTTACTTTTCAATATAATCTCCATTCATCTCAATACCCTTATTCCATTTGTCCTTCAAGCTTTTAATACCACTTTTATAGAAACCCGCAGATTGGCCCTCTAACCACGCCTCTGTGGCAGCCTTTAGGTCCTCGTCATCCTGGAAGCGTCTTCCACATAGGGCAGATTTCAGGAAATAGTCACTGGGTGGCTAAGTCTGGGCTGTAGGGCGGGTGATTTAACAATACAGCCAAGACTTAGCCCCCAGGACAGGTGAAGTTTCCGGGGTAGAATAGGTCTTCAGCAACCCATGCTTGCCGTAAAAGGCGACTATGCTTGTCGTAAAAGGCGACTAATGGGATCGGGTGGTCAGGCTCGCTGACTTGGTTGATGCATGTCATCGTTCCCAATTGCGTGGATCGATGATCATGCTATCAATCACTGGATTGTCTGGTCCAGACTCGATTATTTACAGACCGCCGTGACATAGCTGGAATATTGCTGAGTGCGGCGTTAAACAACCAACCATCCAACCAACAACTTAGCCCCCAGTGACTATTTCCTGTTCCGGCAAATGGATTCTGCTCTACGAGGAAGACGCTTCCAGGATGACGAGGACATAAAGGTTGCCACAGAGGCCTGGTTATGACATTATGAATCTGGAGTTCAAACTATACTGTCAGTGGCGCAAGCAGATGGTCTCACCTCACAACTAGTACTATGCTCGAAATGAACAAGTTTTAAAGGAAAATCAATCAATTTAGAATGCATGTAGGTATTTAAAATAGAAATTTGGGGATATCGATAATGTTCCGGTATTGCTAAACTATCTACAGTAACTAGACACCTGCATCACCCAGTGGTCATCGGTTGCCTTGTTGCCTTGATGTAACACATCTACCCCAGATGACCGGTTCTCGTGTTGCCTTGGTGTCCCACATCTACCCCAGATGACCGGTTGCCTTCACGTTGTTTCCTTGATATAACACATCTACCCCAGATGACCTGTTGCCTTGTTGCCTTGATATACAACATCTACCCAAGATGACCGTTGGTCGTGTTGCCTTGATATACAACATCTACCCAAGATGACCAATGGCCTTGTTTCCTTGATATACAACATCTACCCAAGATGACCAATGGCCTTGTTTCCTTGATATACAACATCTACCCAAGATGACCAATGGCCTTGTTTCCTTGATATACAACATCTACCCAAGATGACCAGTGGCCGTGTTGCCTTGATGTCCCACATCTACCCAGGATGACCGGTGGCCTTGTTGCCTTGATATACGTTATTTGGACGTTTTCAAACCATCGTTTTTCCGTCCAAAAAACGTCGTTATTTGACATCGGAATTTACTGGGAGAGAACGATATCATCAAGCTCCTCCCTTTCTTGATTCACACTGTCAATCAAGCAACAGCGTCTACCGGTATTTCTACTTCTCAAATTTCATTGGTCAGTTCTCGCGTGTTAGATTACAGGCCCCAACAAAAACTGAAATCAATCGTTCTGCGCATGCGGATTATTTAATGCCTTGTCCAGATTTTCCGTTCTGTGCATGCGCGATTTCGCGTATTGTTTCCTAGATTTAATGTCACCACTATTTGACAATGATTCATAAACACATTCCCGTGATAAGTTCGGAATCGTACAGTGACGCTTAAATTGATGGCACGGACTTGATCGGCTCGCATTTCCGATTAACTAATACAATGATAACGGTAATAATTTTAGTCAAAATAATTAGGAAAGCGCAAGGCTCAGGAGAATAGGAAAAGGATTATATGCTTACTTACTTACTTACTTACTTACTTACTTACTTACTTACTTACTTACTTTCGCAAGTTATATAATCGTCAAATACGCAAACGAATATCAACCGGTTTTTAACATTTATTTTTGTAGAATGTGATTTTGGTGTACATTGCCAGATATTATATGCATATATATTTTTCCGATATTGCTTATTTTAATGTTTATTAATAGTTTTAAAGTTCGTCCGCCTAATTGACGCGATTCCACTTTCTCATCTGTACATGACATTTAAGCATTATCCTGTTACTGTAAACAGATTAGTTTCAAATGCGTAGTCCCTAAAACTGTATAATTGTGATAGAATCAAGTAACTCCATTAAAATTGAAGAGGAGCCCCAGTGATATGGGAGATTCCGAGATGAACCTATTCTATGGATATCTTGGCTGCAAACCCAAACTGATCCAAACGGGACCGGAAAGCTTATTGTAAGCTCTATAGTCATATGGAAGTGGACCAGAATTATACAATCTGTTCCGCACGATTGTGTTACTTTTAAGTCAGGAAAAATGATTTAACACGTCCCATTTTAATTCTGGAAACCCAAAAGTCCAGAAACTCTACGGTCTTTACCCAGTCTCGGTCAAAGGTATTTACAAAAATAAGCATGCTGTTTTCATGGGAACATACTAAAGAAGAAAAAATGAAAACAAAAAGTTCCAAAACTCAATATTTACACCATCTCGCCCATGGGCCTGCGAAGATTGGCCAATGGGCAGGCCCATGGGCGAGAATATTTTCCTTTACACAAAACTCATGTTTTAGTTTCGCAAATATTTAACTTGTATTCCATCAAGTATCATACACAAAATTTAACTCATTTTAACTTAATTCAACGATTTTATAGCGATATTGAAATAGTTAGCCCATGGGCGAGAAAAAGGTTTGGCCCATGGGCGAGAATATTTTCCATTACACAAAACTTATGTGTTTGTTTCGCAAATATATTTTAATACATTCCTTCACGTATCATGACACAACATTTTACTCATTTTAACTTAATTCAACGATTTTATAGCGATATGAAATATTTCGCCCATGGGCGAGAAAAAGGCTTGGCCCATGGGCGAGAATATTTTCCTTTACACAAAACTCATGTTTTTGTTTCGCAAATACTTAACTTGTATTCCATCAAGTATCATACACAAAATTTAACTCATTTTAACTTAATTCATCGATTTTATAGCGATATTGAAATATTTCGCCCATGGGCGAGAAAAAGGCTT